GACCTAACAACACAACTGAAGACATCCCGTTTATTCGTAAACTCTTGAGTAAACTCGAGCAATACCTGGAGAATCAAGAATTTCGAATTTACCTCAAAACATGCGGTTCACCTGGATCACAGATATACCGGAAATAACGAAGCAGATGAACATTGTTTAGGAGATAAACTGCAACGACCGTGACAAGATCTACATTGGCAAAACTATAACAAAATTGAATAAATGGGCTGCAGACTGAATGGAGCCATAACGAATGAGAACCCGGAGCATTCTTACATCGTCTGCCTCACTTTGTACTTGTTCTAGTGCTTTATTCCCATTGTCATTTCCTTTGATAAGGAGAAAATGATCATCATGCAATTAATTAAAGAATCGTTGCATATTTTAACCAATCAAAGCCAGCTGTGAAACGAATGCACGAGATTTAATAGTTTGAGTGATGCTTGCAATGTCATGGGTTAGCTTGTCCGGAAAAAGTAATGAAACAAAGACACTGCCATTCAAAACTCTCTTCTTAAGTTTGGGCTGTTTTATTTTTTATCTGTGACATAACCCTGGTGAAGAAGCTGGTATGTGGCGTGAAATTACGAGAGGGTAACCAGCTAATCCGTTTTAATTGTTGCTTTAAAGCATAGATCGAGAAAAGACATGATTAATCGTTATCCAAGGAAGCTATGAATCGATGTCTCCTTGCACTGTAATAGATTATCTGCAAGTTTGACAGATGATGACAGATTTACTGATGTCATTCAGTCATCGGCTTCATGCTAATATGCAAAACGAGGTTGTTCAAATCACTGGGATCGATAACCTGAGGTAATTGGGTCGTATCGCGTCTAGGCAATCATCTTTCACTTGTCATACATGGTTTATTACTTTTGTTTGATCCTCTCAAACAGAGGGTACTTCAACGGTAATCAAAGGCAAAGCACAAGAAACCACTTGTGGTCTACTACAAATTTTTAGAGCCAAAATGGTTTAGCCCGGTCCTGCCAGGAGTCCATAGAAGCAGCTTTCAGTTTCGCAATATTCGCCATAACGATTTGGGTCTTTAGAGCCAGTGGAAATCCTTCTGCGCTGATCGCCTGTGTTATTATTGTTTTGTACCTTCGTTTACTTTTCACACTTATTTTATTTGCCAGCCTCATGGCAAGAACTACTTTAAGGGACATAAAAGCGGTGACTTTATGAGGGAAGATTACGTGCTGGTGCAAATGTTTCATTTTGCGGTGGTGTGCACTTTCGCAATTTTTCTCCTTTTGATACAGCAGCCTCGCATTCCGTTTGGAAGGCAGTGTTTACTTGTATTAGACCCATTTATAAACGGGATGCAAATTCTCATCCAGAGTGAATTTAAACGTTACAGTATTGATTTGTTTGCTGAAGTCATTGTTATCGATTGCTGATCAGTTATTACACTCTTGAAAATATCTCAACAGAGTGCTATATTTTTTACACAAGATATGCTG